TTTTCCGATGTATCTGGTAGAAAAATTGACAAAAAACCTTGAAAACTCTTGAAAAAACCGAAAAAAAAATTGTAAAAGTTTGAATTCGCGCGCTTTTACTCACCGGGCGGCCTAGAAAAAACCTCGTCCCTAAGGGCTTTCAGCGTATTTTTCGATGCGTTTTTCTCGATGAAGGATTTTTTTTGAATTTTTTCTTTATTTTTAAGTCAATCTTTATGCATTTCTGCACATTTTGATGCAATAAAAAATTTCACCGTACACCACCTTTAAAGATGCCTGTCTTCCTCGGAAGTTACGTAAAACTGCCGGCACCTTTCGATCAAACTGACTGATTTTGATACACCCTGCTTGATACACAGGCGACGGAGTACATTCTCTCTTTCATAGAGGGTTCAACTCGATGGGACAAAGGAGGGAGTGTTTAACTAGTCAAGGTCATAACGTACACACAGTATTAGACTCTCTCAGTCTTCTGTATCTTTTGGGTCATCTGCCACGTCATAAGATGTCCCTCCTTGTGCTCCATCTTCTCTTACAACAGTGCATCGCTTTTCTGAACATCATTATTGTTCCTTTATAATCGTTCTATGATTCTCAGAACGACAAAAAATGAAATTATTGAAATATCCGAGTCTGGTCCAAAATCTGATACTTCACTACACAGTATGTTCCAATCTATTTCTGCTTTCACTACTCTCCAAAAAGATGAAGAAATTGATCAAATCGTCCCAAATGCCAAAATTCAAAATTTCACTTCTATCGTGTATGACAGTTGTGAACCAGATCAACCATTGGTTTACATTGCCTACAGACCATTTGCTATAATGAAATTTTCCGAGCACAAAGAGAATGAAAACGTTAAATTTCAATTGAGTATATCTGGAAAGATAATTGATTTTGGGTGAGTTATTAATAGCAGGACAATTGATAATAAAGTATCAATATTTCAGATCATCTGACGAATACTATTGTCCTGTGGCATTGTTTCATCCGCATGAACAAGAGTTAGTCATGGAATCTACTCATAATTATTTTCTTGATTTCTTCGGAACTTCTGTGAATTATAATTGGAGAACAAACAACTACAAGCTTTCTATTCCACGACTTCAAAACTTAGAAGTGCGCATTCGTATGGATATTCCGAGGATATTTCAGGACATGAAAAGCGTTGACAATTTTTTCTCCTCATGTCCTGTTTTGAAATCGATTGATCTGTATTTTTGGGCATTTGAATCGTTGAGCCCAGAATCGGAATCAATATTGTACCAAGCATAGTCTATCGAAATCAATCAGTTTGATCGAACGGTTCCGGCAGTTTTACAAAACTTTCAAGGAAGACAGGCATTTATGATGTGCTTTTTGTGCGAACCCTTAGATTTAATCGAGTTTGTAAATCGATGGAAATCGGGAAAAGCTATTCAAAATGTGGAATATCTGAAAATTACAACACTTCATCAGGAAACCCCCCGGGACTTCTTTCTGACTGCAATTGGGGCACGGCATATTGATGAAACAAGAAGACAACCAACGCACAGTGTGCCCAGAGTGTAAGTGATTTTTGTTGATATTTTTAAAAAGTTGTTCTGTTGGGAGAGCTCTGAGTTGAGAAATAACTTTTCAGGTACGTTGAGTATGCGCATAGATCAAATACTGATCCGATCACCAGTCACTCATGCGTCGTTAGAGATTCAGATAATCGTGTGGCATCCGTCTTAATTGAGGAAAAGTCACTCAGTTTTGGAGTATGGGACAAAACCGAGAAGGAGTTTTTAAAAATGGTGGAGCAGTTGCAATTTGCAAATTGACAATTATTCAAAGCATCATACAATTAATGGAAATCAATAACACAAGATTTCATCATTTTTAGCACTTTTTTCCTGCTAATCTCAGTTCCTATCATTTTTATTGCTTTCTTTTTCTATATATTTTTTAATTCAATTTGTAATAAACGTTTTTGAAATTCGTACGAAGTTTTGATGCATTGTATACATGCTTTGTTGAACAGTATTCAAAAGCTTCAAATTTTCTTGAAATTTGAAGAGAAACAGGTTGAAAATTTCAAAAATTTCAAAAAAAAAATCAGTTACGTTGCTCCGCCATAACGCTACCGCACGTTGTTTAGCGCGATTTTTCCAAGATTTTCAGTCAGTTTTTATCATTATATTTGACTATTCGCACCATTTTTTAGTAGTTTTACTATTAAAAACGTTTTTTGATTCAAATTCAAGTAATTCTCTTAATTTTGTGTTGTAATATTGCTGAAAATTGAGATTTCCAACAAGACTGAGACTCAAGTTGAGAGCACTGCCGATGTTTGGTCGTCTTAAATTCTAACGATTGGATTGCAATTATTAATTGATTTTCTATTGGTTTTCTGATCAATAAACGACATAATTGCTCTGTTCCTCACTGTAAAGACTCTTCTTACCCAATAAATCCATTCCTCTCCAATCCAGAAAACTCTTTCCAATTCCACTATTTTCAATTTCCCACTAAAATAGGTGGAGGCCGTGGCCGTTGAATTGCAATAGCGCGCCACCGCTCTCTTGAGTAGCCGAAATGTCAGCATCTTTACTCTTCCTAGTGCTGCTGCTGCTCTTTGTAAGCCGGGAGAAAGAAGAAGAGATTCGATTTTTTTTTCTTTGCCATGCGCGCGCGGTGCAAATGGTAGGAGGCAGAGAACTGTTGAGTAGTGACTGATTTTACAAATGTAATTTTAATTCCTGATCCCAAAATGTACAATTTCTCCAAAAGAATCGTTATCTTGTTACCTCCTTCGTTTTCCAATGTTTATCAATTCTTCTCCGAAAAACGAAATCACGTGATTTTCATGTTTTCAGAGGCGGTGAACCTTTCGATGATCGAAGAGAAGACCTCTCTTGAGATGGACACCAATGATGTGATGATGGTAAGGGTTTTTAATCATTCTGTAAATATTTTGACCCCAATTTTGCAGACAGACGTTACTGATGAAGGTGCTCGAGACTTTCTTACAAGTCTATTTGAGTGTGAGAACGGACCAGATGTGCGATTCGCCGACGCCATATTAGATGTTCAAAAGTTGATCTTAGATGTTCCTTCACGATCGCTGCAGTCGCATATCGGAGAGATTTTCACAAAATTCGTGTTATTGTCGCCAGAAGGAACGAAATCGACAGCAACCGGGCGATCATACAACTTCATCGACCCCAGTGACATAGTCGGATGCCGGGAGGAAGATGCTATTGAATTTTTGCTTTTTACATTTGTCAGGTGTCATCATGAACTTCAGAAGGTACATTTTCTTTAAAAAAAATAAAAGCTAGATCCCTTTTCTTTGCAGAATAACTCGTCATCATCCACGAAGAAAATCATTGAAGCCGCTCAAAAAGCACTTCTCGCTGTCTTCATTTCTGTTCAAAGAGGCTATTTCGACGAGCAACTCAGTTACCAAAAAGCCTGTTTAGTATTTGTCAAACGCCTTCTGGAGGATACCGTATCCAACAGCTTCATCAGCGTTCTTATAGAACATGCTGCAAATCCAGAGGAATCTGATTCAGACACCCTTCACGACGTCTTCAATCCGATCTTCGATGTTTTGAGAAGTGGAGCCAGTTGTCAGAACTTTGAAGAGAATCGCGACGAGACGATGCAGCAGATTTTGCGTGTTATGAATGTGCTGTTGAATGTGAGAATCGGTGGAAATGGGCCACGAGTACTATGTGATCTTCTGGTGAATCGCCCCGATTTTCTTCCATCCCTTATGGAGAAAATGATAGGCAGGGAGTTTGGTCTGACTTGTTACCTTGGCCCATTTTTCAACTACGGACTCGAATCCTCTCCTCGTCGTGTCAACAGCCGAGTATTTATTAATTCTGAAGACGACGCTCGAAAAGCAGACGGATCTGTCAATATGGAGCAAACACAATACATCAATAGAATGAGTGCGATTCGATCGGGCCTTCATCAAATGATGTATCCATTGCTTGTCGATCAATCCACTCGTAACAAGACGCTCCAATGGATTGCAAAAGTTTTAATCTGTAACGATCAAAGAACTCGAAGCCATTACGATCCGGCTGATGTGCTCTGCGATCATTTCTTCGTCAATTTCTTGTCGGTGTTGTACAGATTCTCCGAGAAAATTGACATTTCTAAAATAATCAAAGACTATCCATTCTTGTCGGATTCGCTGATAGATATTTCTAAAGAAACACGCCTCAAGATGGACGAAGCCACTGCGATGGAATTCGTGTCGCAGTTTAGTGAGTTTTTAATCAAAATATGTTTAAATACGAATTTCTTTGATTTCAGACGATCGTCGAGCTGATTATCACTTCTCCACTGTCTGCTTCTTCTTGACAATCTCCACTCAACACCTTGTCCTTCCACCACTGATGGGACGCATCAGCGACTACTCACGCCATTTAAAAGAGCTCAAACACAAACTCGCCAGTCTCAAACAGAAACTAGAAAGTGCTCAGGGCTTCGAGAGGCATGAAATCGAGACGAAGATTCAGCAACAAGAGCAACACTGGAAAATGATGTCCCGCCACTTGTTGTGTTTGAAGACACACGCTCAGGATCCGGCTCTGATGGCGTCTGCACTGGATTTTGGGAATAAGCAAATGCAATTCGTCATGAGCTCCCTTTGTGATAATTTGAATCTACTCGGAGATGATAGTCAATTGCCTGCGGAGCCCACACCAATGTTCTGTGCTCTTCCACAGCACTATCTTGAAGACGTTCTCGATTTCTACATATTCGCGATTACCAACGGCCAGAAGCTTCTAATGGAGAGTAGCACGGAATGGATTCGACGTCTTACTGTCCTATACACTCATTATCAATATGTTAAGAGCCCATTCTTGGTTGCCAAACTTGTGCGAGTACTCACAGCAATTCAGAATCCATTGTGGCAAAACGTCGTCAGCCTTCAAATGGCTCGCGATAGCTTGCTACTGTGTATGATCAAATTCTACTCGGATTTCGAAGACAGCGGTGACTTCTACGAGAAGTTTAATGTGCGTGGAAATATTCAACACATGCTCGAGAAGATGCGCGACGATATGTTCTACAAGGCCAAATTCATGGAGATGGCTAGGGATTGTGGCTCGGAATTTGTTCGTTTCGTCAACATGGTTATCAACGATGCCACGTGGTGTATAGATGAGAGTTTGTCTGGACTGAAGAGCATTCATGATGTGGAGAAGAAGATGGCGAATAAAGCGGAATGGGAGGCCACAGATCAGGAAACCCGAAATCAGGATCTTGGAGTGCTTGACGAGGCGAAGAGGAAGGTTTCCGGATGGTTGGGAACGGCGAAGAGCAATTTAGGATTGCTGCTCTCAATTACCGATAACTCTCCAGAACCGTTCCGTACACCAGCGCTTGGAGAACGTCTAGCCGCGATGCTGAATCACAACTTGTCGCAATTAATGGGAAACAAGTGTGCAGAGCTGAAAGTGAGCAATCCGAGTAGCTATGGATGGCAGCCACGGGAGTTTGTGACACTGCTCATTTCGATTTATTTGGGACTCAATGTGCCGGCATTTGTGAAGTATATAGCGTATGATGAGGTGAGTGTTTTTGGGGTTTTGGAAAAGCTGAAAACCGTTTTTAGTAAAAATCGCTGCTTGACGATTATGCTCTTACAAATCCCATTTTTTCAGAGAACCTACAGCCCAGAGTTCTTCAACAACGCCATCGAACGCATGAAAAAGAATCAAATCCTCGGATTCAGTCAACTCGAGAGATTCCAGCACCTAGCCGAGGATGTTCAGAAGGAGTACGAAGCGAAGGCGGAGCTTGAGGATGAGTATGATGACGTTCCAGAAGAGTTCAAGGATCCGATCATGGACGCGATCATGGTGGACCCCGTCACCCTTCCATCGAAGCATATCATGGATCGTTCTGTGATCGAGCGGCATCTTTTGAGTACACCCAACAATCCATTCAATCGTGAGGCGTTGACAACCGCCGAGCTTGTGCCGAACGACGAGCTGAAGGCCAGAATTCAGGCGTGGATTATTCAGAAGAGAAACGCCAAGAAATAATTGTTACCCTCATTTTTACACACATTTTTTTGTATTTAATTCTTTCTTCTTTTGCCTATCGATCTGAAAAAATTTCTGTAAATCTGTATACTTTAACTGGGTCACAACAAAAAGCTCTATCGGTTCCCTCTTTCTTGCATCCCTATAACTATTTCAATCATCTATCCACGAGTATTTTCCCCATCTATGTCAATGAAAATGATTTTTAGAATTCAGTTTTCAAATTTTCCTTTTTTTTTCATTTCTGGTTTTTCAGCCAGCTTGAATATATATTTTTCTTCTTTTTTATTTTTTTCAACTTCTCTATTCTTTAGAATTTTTGGAGTGTCAACTAATGACCAAATATTTGTAGGTTTCCTTTTTAAAAGTGTCGTGCTGTTGGTTAAAGGGGGACTCCGACCAAAAATTTTTATTGCCCTAAAATGTTTCAAAAAATATGTATTTTCCTAATATTATTGCGAAAAAATCAAAAAATCCTAAATCCCCGAAAAACGGCGTTGAAAAAAAAAGGATTTGAATTCCCGCGCAGTGAGAAACCTAGGCCACGGCATCATAGCGCCTTTCTTACATGGAAATTTTTCCGGATTTTTACGGTGTTCATGTCCGGCAGGTTAAAAATGTAAAAAACCACTGTCGGCCACTTGAAAAAACGGTTGTCAGGCGCTGTGGCCTAGGTTTCTCACTGCGCGGGAATTCAAATCCTCGTCCCTCCTAGCAACTTTTTTTTGAAAATTTTTCGCTTTTAACGGCATTTTTCGGGGATTTCGGATTTTTTTCGCTATAATATTAGGAAAATAGACAATTGTTCAAACATTTTAATGCAATAAAAATTTTTGGTCGGAGTCCCCCTTTAAAGCTTCCATTTTATGCATTTGCGCGTCAGAGTGTTTGCGTACCCAGGCATTTTATTTTACGCGCAAATGCACGAAATTGTGATTTGTGACATGTCTTTCATATATAATTGAATATTCAACTTAATATTTTCCCTTCCCTTCCCTGTTAGACACATTCCGGTAGCTTCATTCGAAATGTTCCAATTTTCAGTAACTTGGCATTACAACTGGAACGTATTTGGACGACGACGATGGCACTGTTCGCGAGACAACTCCAATCGCTGACTGCATCCGGGATCCGCACCCAACAGGTCCGTTTGGCCAGCAGCACCGAGGTCTCATTCCACACGAAACCATGCAAACTGCATAAGCTGGACAGCGGACCGAACACCTCGGTCACTTTGAACAAGGAGGATGCGCTCAAGTATTACCGCGATATGCAAGTGATTCGTCGAATGGATCGGCCGCTGGCAACTTGTACAAGGAGAAGAAGATTCGTGGATTCTGCCACTTGTACTCTGGACAAGAGGCTTGCGCCGTCGGAATGAAGGCTGCCATGACCGAAGGAGATGCGGTTATCACTGCTTACCGTTGTCACGGATGGACTTGGCTTTTGGGAGCCACAGTGACTGAGGTGCTCGCTGAGCTGACCGGAAGAATCGCTGGAAATGTTCATGGAAAGGGAGGATCCATGCACATGTACACCAAGAACTTCTACGGAGGAAACGGAATTGTTGGAGCTCAACAGCCACTTGGAGCTGGAGTTGCTCTTGCCATGAAATACCGGTGAGCAGTCTATTTGAAAAATTCTCAAAAAAAAACTTAATTCTGTTCAGTGAACAGAAGAACGTCTGCGTCACTTTGTACGGAGACGGAGCCGCCAACCAGGGACAGCTCTTCGAGGCCACCAACATGGCCAAACTCTGGGACCTCCCAGTGCTGTTCGTCTGCGAAAACAATGGATTCGGAATGGGAACTGCTGTTGAGCGCTCTTCGGCGTCCACCGAGTACTACACTCGTGGAGACTACGTTCCCGGAATCTGGGTCGATGGAATGGACATTCTTGCCGTTCGCGAAGCCACCAAATGGGCCAAGGAGTACTGTGACAGTGGCAAGGGACCACTTATGATGGAGATGGCTACCTATAGATACCACGGACACTCGATGTCGGATCCAGGAACCAGCTACCGTACTCGTGACGAGATTCAAGAGGTTCGCAAGACCAGAGATCCAATCACTGGGTTCAAGGATCGTATCATCACATCTTCGTTGGCCACCGAGGAAGAGCTCAAGGCGATTGATAAGGAGGTTCGCAAGGAGGTTGATGAGGCACTCAAGATTGCCACTTCTGATGGTGTTCTTCCACCAGAAGCTCTCTTCACCGACATTTATCATAATACTCCAGCTCAAGAAGTAAGCTCTTTTCTGGGGAGGGGGGGGAGGATTACTGTAACTAATCTCAATAAATTCCAGATCCGCGGAGCCACGATCGACGAAACTATCGTCCAGCCGTACAAGACTTCAGCCGACCTTCTGAAGGCTATCGGAAGAGCATAAACGACGACTCGATTATCGATTATAATTCTCATTTATGCGACAATTTTTCATTTTGTTTTCTTTTTTCCTAATTCTTTATTAGAGCTTTTTCTGTAGTTTCGGTTCCCCTTTTTACGTATTTTCCAGTGAATTTTTAGTGTCGTTTTATTTTTCTAGAAATCGGTTCTTCACTTCTCTCTTCTCTGAATCTTGATGATTTATAATAATGTTTTCTTTTTATTGCATAAATCACATAGAAAAAAGTATTAACTTTTCGGAGAACTGGAAATTTACAAAAAGGTGATACATATATTTTATTACAATTGAATTTTAAAAAGATCTAGAAAGGAAGCAGATGCCGATGAACCCTCCCAGAGAGGATTAGGATTTCTATTAGGGTTGTCTCAGGTGGGAACACACAAGCCAGATGAACGAGAAAGGTTGGAGATGTCGCCATACCAGGAAAGGTTCTAACTGAGGTGTGAAACTTTGTGAATTTTTGAATTTTCTAAGCCGTCATCTAGATCTTTGAATTTTTTAGGTCAAAACCTAAATTTTTGGTTTTCTAGGTCCTGACCTAGATCTTTGAATTTTCTAGGTCATGGCCTAGATTTTCGAAATTTTAGGCCATGACCTAGATTTTCGAATTTTTAGGCCATGACCTAGATTTTCGAATTTTTAAGCCATGACCTAGATTTTCGAATTTTTGGTCATGACCTAGGTTTTCGAATTTTTAGGCTATGACCTAGATTTTCGAATTTTTAGGCCATGACCTAGATTTTCGAATTTTTTGTTCATGACCTAGATTTTTGGGTTTTTAGGTAATGGCGTAGATTTTCGAATTTTTCGGGCATGACCTAGATTTTTTGATTTTCAGGTGTCGTTTTATTTTTCTAGACTTTGATTCTTCACTGATTTCTCTCTGAATCTTGATAATTTATAAAAACGTTATTTTATTGCATAAATCACATGTTTCTGTTTTTTCAGTCAGTGTTCGTCGCAAGCTATGGAAACTGAAGTACAAGGGAGATGGAAAACAAAAGAAGAAGAAGAAGCTCATAAATTGGAAAATTCGAGAAGAGGAAAGCGAAAAAAGAGGGAAGAAAATAATAATAATATTACTCTTGTAAAATGAGATGTTTGAAAATGCGTTTCTAAATTATTGTGGATATTCAACAACGGGGGGTGGGGGAAAAGAGAAAAATCATGGGGAGGCAGTTGGGGGGAAAAAGCGAATTTTCGATATTATCATGAAGTCGTTTCTATGCAGAAGGTAACTGTGACGTGGATTTTTGATGTTGACTACTTTATTGAGACCATGGGTGCCGATTGGAAACCAGTAATGTTCAATTTGTCTGCGAGGCCCTGGAAAAAATTCAAAAATTTAGGTGAATAGGTGATTGAGGAGAAGTCACGTGGCAAGCTGGGAGCGTTGCGGTTGCGTCGCGGTCGCCAGTTGTCTTGAATTTTCCGGCAAAAAAGTGCAAATTTAGGTGATGCCACGTGGCAAGCATGGCGCGTAGCGGTCGCGTCGCGGTCGCTCAAAACTGACCTCAACTTCATCGTCCTCGTTCTCTTCCAAAAGCGCAGAATCAGACTGCGTATTTCGTGTCAACTTCGCGCTTAACGGCGGCGACGTGTTATTATTCTCAGAAGACACTGGCGATGGTGACGGAGCACGTTGTGGAGTGCTTGCTCCGGAGCAACTGAGCAACGCGCGCTTCTGCTCTCTTTCAACGATGAAGACGTTACGACGGCGTTCCTCCTCTCCAATTCTGTCATATATGACTCCATCGACGCCGAGCTCCTTTTTAAAGTAGTTGATGTTCTCTTTCTTGTCCAGATCCTCTCCCCATACGAACGTCACCATTCCGAACTCGTTGGCTTTCTTGACAGGCATCGGATCTTTGAGCAAGTCTTCTGAATTGAAATTCACACCCAAGAGATCGGCTCCAACGGCGAAGTTCACAGCGGTCATCGAGGTGCTGGTGCGTTGATCTTGGAACGGAGTGTATCTTTGGGTTTCACCGACACATAGGAACAGCACTGGGTATTTGTTCTGTTTTGTGGCCACCATTGAGCAGATGTCCGGATCGAAGCTGCTGAACATAATTCGACGATTCGCGGCATGCTTCAGAACGTCGGCGAGGATGATGTCGACGAAGAGGTTACGCTCGAAGTAGTGGTCGCATTCGTGTTCGCCGTTCTGAAAGAAAATAGGCTTAAAAATGGTCTAAAATTCTTAAAAACCCACATTTTGCATCATTGGATACTTGACTTCAACATTGAATCCAACATCCGGATCCACTTTGGTCAGCGCTTCAACCAGCGTTGGAAACGGTTTGAAGTCATCCTCCTCTTCCAAAACCTCCACCAACTTCTTGACATTCTCCTTCTTCTGCGGGAAGCTCAAATGATCCAACATCAAAAGTTTCAGCTGGGAGAGCTTCAAATCTTTAACCGGGAGCTCATGGAAATCCAAATTCGACGAATCCAACTGCTCTCTCGTCATCGTTGGTGGCGGAAGCGCATGCCCATCTCGACGAGCTACAGACACCAAAACGTGGAAATCATGGTAGATCACAGCGATTCTATCCTTGGTCAACTGCACATCGAATTCCACATAATCCGCTCCATTCTTGGCAGCTGTGTTCAGCGAGTGAATCGTGTTCTCTCTAGCCATAGCGAATTTCGTGTAGGAATTTCCCGCACCTCGATGTCCGACCTCCAACGCATTCCGTTTCTTCCAATGCCGGCAATATGTCTGATCCATGAGTTGAGGTTCGTCTAGTCGTGTCAAGGCGCGAACACAGAGGTACTCTATGGACACTTGTCCGATGGGGCGTCCCGAAGAATTGATAAAAGGCAGGTGAATGATTCCAGAAGCGTCTTGAAGAGCGGACGGGAGAGCGTAGCAAGCGCCGATTCTCTTCCGTTCCTCCGAAAAGATTTCAATGTAAAACGCCAAAAATTCCGCGGCAAGACAGTGAGTTCTAAAGACTAGATAGTCCTTATTGTTGTTGAAAACCACTCCAGTCTCTTCCTGATCATAGAACTTGGGACGTGGATCAGAGAGAACGGCGACATGAGTGGCTGAGTGCGTACACTTATTAGATGCATTATTCGGATCCTCTTCCTCATCCTCCTCGTCTTCTCCGTAGCTGAAACTGATGTGTCCACTGGGCGGCGCCTTGAATCTCACATCCAGCGGTGTCATTTTAACCCGACAATTCTTGCGTTCCTTGGAAGTTTTATAGAATTTCAGTGCGTTTCCATGAAGTCTCAAAAGGATCTGATTCTCATCAGAGTGCTGTAGCCAACCATCGGACACACACTTTCGGCCAGCGTAGTAGCCGAAAAGGTCCACACGATCCACACGACACTCTCCGTTGCGAGATTCAGCAGAGCACAGGGTGGAGCGTGGATGAAGGAACGCCTCCCACTTGTCAACTATCAGTTTCTCGCCTTGATCCGACATCAAATTGTAGCCGATGAAGTAGCGGAATTTGAGCTGATCGACATCGCTCATGATGGATCCTTTCCAGCGCATGCTGTAACTTTAAAAAAATTGTAACTGGATATACGGGAATTCAACTCACTTCCTGTCGGGATCTTGGACGAGCGGCATCGCCCGTTTGGCTTCCCAAGCGCCGAGCACATCGGGTGATCCCACGACGTACACCGACTGATGCGACTGCAAGTTTTCGACGTCGACCGCGAAGTGAACGCGGACTGGTCGCGCCACCGACATCACTGAAAAAATAGAAGAATAATTGGGATTTTGAGGTAATTAGAGGAAAAAATAGAATGAAAAACTAGGCTGGAATACAAATATTAAGGAGAGATTTGAAGCTTGGTGTTTTTTTTTCGAAACGTCGTCTAAATTCGCTCAAATGCGATAACCGTAATTTAGCAGCAAAAATAGCATTGGTCTTAAAGCGAAAGCTTCAAAATTGAACTGTTTCAGAGAGAAAGCACAGGATGTTTCCAGGGAGAAAGCGTCTAGAGTTAGGCCCAAGAACGGGGTAAAAATATTCCGCAAGTCCGCAATTCTAGCTTCGCCAGATTACACAAATGCTGCAGAACAAGAATATTTATTTAGGGCCAGAAATGTTCGGAATGGATTTTTTGGATTTTTTCGGAATGTCGAAAATTCCGATTTTCTGAATTCCGAAACCTTTGGAATTTTTCTAAATTCAAATTTTAAAGTAGAAATTCTATTTTACTATCACAAAAGCTCCGAAAAATAGTGAAAAAAGACAAACGATTTTCAAATTTTTTGCAAAAACTCAAATAAAGGCATTTCCGCTCGAAACCCGCAAGCAAACTTTTCGCTTGCGCCTTTGACGTACAGTAGTCTAGAAGTCAATAATTCCGAAAAAAACTTCGGAATTTCGGGAGTTCCGTTTCGAACTTCTCCGATTTAGGATTTAAAATAAGTTATTGTAAAAGATAAAACTGTGACGACAAAAAAACGAGAATCTGACAGACCTTGAACTGCGATATAGTTCCACTATTACAATATTAGTATCACTGACATCTTCTAGACCCTCCCAAAGAACCTGCAAATTAGCGAAACGGGGAACCCTATTCTTATCTCGCCGCGTTTGTTGACTTTATATATTTCCCATTCAAAGACACAAAAAACCAGCGACATGAAAAATTAAACGACGGCCGAAAACGAATTAATTTCAGTCGTTGAAAAATAGGGAGACTTTGACCTGATAAAACCTGTTTTTTTCCTCATCTTCTGTCTTAATAGTATGTCAAGATACCTTTTGAAAGTGTGGCGGTGGCGAAACGATGCAGCATGGCAGAGAATGAGGTATTTAGACGAAATTTATGGAAGGAGACAACTCACGCTTCTTTTGTGATAATGTGATAAGTGAAAGTGAGTGGGAGACACAGAAAAAAAATCGAGGAAAAAGTTGGCAGCTTATCAGGCCATTACGATTAGAAAAAAGTTGAGAGACTAAAGAATTAAAAGATTAAAAGGTCAATGAAGGTCCCACAGCGACAACTACCGTAGTTGTCGTTGTGGGACCTTCCAGAGCTCCGATTTTGTCGTGCTAAATTGTGATGAAAAATGAAATATATAGCCTATTGATGCTCCTCCTATAATCGTCACTTTCAGTTATGATAACTGCGTTATCAGCGGAAGTGACGGTATAAACAGATTTGTATTTAGTAATAAAACTTATATTACAAAAACACTTTTATTACTGATAAGCTGGTCTCAGTTCAAAAGTTTTTTTTTCGCAAAACTCATTTTGAAATCGGAGCTTCTACATTCGAAATGATGCGATGTTGAGTGCATATCCCGTGCCGATGCACTCAAGTTCTATCTTCTTTCTTTTTGAAAAGAAACATAGATTTTGACTTTTATGCTTTCATATGACTTTTGGATGTTCTTCGCTGAATGGTGGTTAGGTTGAACAAGGAAGAAAAAAAGCAAAATTTGGGGAAAAATAGGAAAGTTTTGGACAAGAAAACCGAACCAAAGAGTTCGTGGCCTACGAGACAGTGTGTAAAAGAGAGATGCGCAGACGGCTATAAGGGGAAAAGAGAAGAGGAAAAGCTAGATGTGTCGCGAAAAGGGGACCGAATCGAAGAGAAAGAGAGACGGATACGCCATCATGTGACGGCACGTGGGAATATGAATATAGATTTCAGCATGGTGGTGTAAAGCGACACAGAAATATGACATTTCGCACTGACGAGGAAGTCATCAAGACATCTAGGCGAAGGGACTAGTTGTGTAAAAAATGAACGGAAAAAGTCAAAGAACAATCAATAAATCTTTTTTCAATGCAAGAAGACACTTAATGGATTTGTTGACATTTGCTCTGCGAGATTTAGATCGTCCGTCAATTTTCGGAAGAACAAACATTGATATCGAACGAAAAATAGATCAAACAATCAGCGGCTTTGACCCTCCTGTTAGCAACATCTAGAGTTTGGTTTAGATACCGTGATTTAAAGGTGCATTGGTTTTGAACAAATGGTGTATTGAGTAATATTATTTAAAAGGGCAAAAAATATTTTTCCGGAAAGTTTGTTTAAATAAATGTTTTCCCCGCTTCCGATGGAATGCAGGCACCACTGAGTAGCGACTTAGTAGTTCAGTTTGAAGGTTTCGCGTCGAGACAAACGCTAATTTTACTGTATTATTACGGTATTCGCGTTTGATCGCAGTTACAAAAGGTTCTAAAAAATTGCCGTGCAAAAAATTTAGTCTCGATGTAAGCCGAATACTTTAGATGCGTAAGAAAACACCGGAAAACAATTTTCCTGGCGATTTCCGGAGTGACGAATCTTTAAAGAACTTTGAAGGCTGACCTAAGAATTTTCTTTCCCTGGTTTCAGATGTTTTATTACTACAAACTCTGGTAGACTGACTACAAAGACCTTATCTTGGTCACATTTGGTACAAAAGAGAATTTTAACAAAATTCAAGAAAATGCACTGAAATCAGATAATTTCACAAGTATTGAATTCGTTTGTAAGAAAATTTCCTGAACGAATTCGGATAGTTAAGATAATTTCTGATATGACATCATACTGGAAAGTTATAGACTACAAGCTACATTGGATTTCTAATTATGACTTGTGTTAAATTACAGTAATCTTATATTCACCAGTGAGATGATTTTTTGAACTAATTTACATACTACATAGCTTCGTGCGTGTCGAAAAAGTGTACCTTATTTGCTAACCCACCTTAACTGTCAACTTTGAGCTTAATTATCTCGATTCCTGTGATAGATATCAAAAAGAGGTCAACTGAAAATGTTTGTCATAATATCACTAATATTTTTGTAGTTGGGAAGTTTGCATTATCTTTCATAGGAAACAGGATAATTGAGCTCAAAGTGTTGGTATAAGGTGGGCTTATATTAGAAAAAGTACAGTAACTACTCTTTAGCTCAATTATCTCGATTCCTGTGAAAGATATCAAAAACTTGTCAACTGATAAAATGTTTATCATAAAATCACCAATGTTTTATTAGTTGACATAATTTTGACATCTCTCAAGGGAACCGAGATAATTAAGCTCAACGTGCAGGTATACGGTGGGCGTTATATTATAGCGATTGACTTGAACTCAATGATCGTTTTTCTGATTTTTCTAAGTTACCGGAGTTGATTTGCACAAATTAGATTTTTAATTTGAGACTCAAAAAAGTTAACAAGATCGAAAGCTCACCCAAATGATCATTATCATCTTCCTCTTCCTCCAAAATGATTTCTGGAATCGCTTCCTGCATGGGCTGCCTCATTTCTTCAACGTCAACGTCTCCTCCACTTCCGAATAAATATAATTCTTCCTCTTCTTCTTCTTCTTCAGGACACTCTGATATCCTAGGACGTCTTGAAAGCGACGAATTTATGGTCCCAACGTGGCGATCGAACACAAAAGACGCTCTCGGAGAGACAGCGCGACGGGTGAAGTGCATTTAGAAAGAAAGCAACAGTATGAAACAAAAATTGGTTATCTTTTCAAAGGAGCATCGAGAGCACTTTCTTATCATCACCTGATAACTGGAGGTGACAATTGGTTTAAGGCGCGAAAAGGCGTGCTTATTGGGGTAGAAGCGGTGCCTTTTTAGTTTTTTGGAGTGCTTGGAGAAATGAGGTTAAAGTTTTTTTTTCTGGACTGACGTAGCATGGTTATTTTCAAGATACGCATTTTGTAGTTCAAATTTAATGTTTTAAATATTGTTGAAAGGAAAATCATGGAAAACACATCTGAAAAATTTTTTAACAATCTGAAAATGGCAAAATTTCAATTCACTGGGAACAAAGTTTCAAAGATTCTGATATACGGTAACTTTGAGCCCATATCATGGTTCCTGTAAAAGAAATGAGAAAGTAGTCAACTGACAAAATGTTGATCATAATATCAGCAACATTTTATCAATTAATCACTTTTTGATACCTTTCACAGAAATTGGGATAATTGAGTTCAAATTTTTTGTCGTTTCACTGTCTGCTGGCTTGGATTACTGTAGTTTTTATAATTGTTTCATTGTCTGAAACTTTATGATCCTCGTATCAGTTTTCACACCTAATTGACATCATTTCCCAGTTTCCAATGTTTTTTTTCCATTGCAACATGTTGTACTGCCGATAAGATGAAATTGAAATTAAAAACTCGTTGTTTCAGTACATTTTCAGCCATTCTGACAATTTTCGAGAGTCTGGAGCTCTGCTGACAAGCTTCCAATCACTTTGAAAACTTTGGAAGGTTTAAAAATGGGCCAGATGGAAATTGTGGTGTTCACAGAATTTTCGAAAATTCCTAGTTTTCAGTTGTTTGCCGATTTCTGAAAGACACCTGTTTTTCACGCTTTCAGAACAAAAACGGATCAAAAATGGTTGTTTTTCAGAAATCGGCAAAAAATAAGAATTTCCAAAAATTTTCGTTTTCCGGAAGTACAGAAAAACAGAATATCCCAGAGTACTGTGCTTATATCGGTTTTCAGTCACCCTCCCTTCCATCATTGGGTCACCGGTCCATCTTCACCTTCAGATGACCATATATTCTTATATATCTTCTATGTCTTTACCTGTCAGCGTCCACGTAGTCGATTGGATAACGTGTGCGGTTGTGGGACTACCGGGGGATGGAAAGGGCGAGTTCGATTCCCCCGGTAGTCTTGGAGATGTGAGGAGGACCCCTCATGTCTCCACCGCACAGCGTTAAGGCACGGAGGACATCGCTGGAGGACCAGCAACGACGAACAAGGAGCTAGCGAAGGAAACGAAGGAATGAGCGAAGGAATGACTGATTAATGATAATGCGCTGAACTGTAGAAACTTGAATGAATAAATGATTTTTTTCCATTCCGAAGCTCATTCCGTCTATTGAGGATAAAAGTTACCGAACATTGAGCGCATTTATCTCGAGTTCTAAAAGAGATATCAAAAATATGTCAACTAATAAAATGTTTGTGATATTATGATCAAAATTTTATTAGTTGCCAATTTTTTCATATCTTTCACAGAAAACGAGATAAATAAACTCAAAGTTAAAAGTGGAGCTGTTCTTCTAATACAGGTCTTACGGTAGTTCAGCGATATGCCATTAAGCGGCATCTTTCATGATTCATCCTTTGAATTTCACAGTTTTCAAAATAAAAAAAATTCTGAAATTCTCATATCCCAGGATGTTGAGAAATCAATCTAATCCTTTTCACACACTCTATTTTCAGACTGTCCTCTCCGGTACATTTTCAGTTCATCCTTTATAATTCAACAACGGAGTACAGTACTCCTTGGTCAGATGTCCATCCAGTACACACCCATACATAAACAAGTTGTTTACACTAAAATGAACTATGAACAAAAATTCTAAGAAATCTAAAATTGCTAGTTTTCTTGAAATGGTTCCAAAGTCGACTGGTGATAAGGAGTAGTGAAATTTTGAAAAGAAACTCATAAAAATGTGTGATTTTATGTACATGTTGCTGATCGGAAAACTTTAACCTCACTGAATTTTTGATCTATTACAAAATTTGAGGAAAATGATTATGGATCAGTAGACAGGGAACTAAAATTATTGTCACATTTATTTTCGTACATTTGGCATCAGAAATCTTTCAGCTGATATGAGAAAAAAAATAAATCTAAAAAAATGACTGGGCTGGAAGAATAAGGAAGGAAATGAAACGGGGAATCAAAATAACATGTGGAACACAACAAGAAATGATCTTTGTATTTTTTTTTGAGATCCTGCTGAAAGTGTCAGCACTGTTTTCTTTGGGTAAACAATACAGTTTTAAAAATATTTTATCAGTTAACAACGTTTTTATACCTCTTATAGTAATCGAGATAAATAAACTTAAAGTTAGACGTTTGGGATTGCGTTCCATGAGAGTGTTTACTCTTTGAGCTCAATTATCTCGCTTACTATAAAAGATATCAAAAAGTTGTCAACTGACAAAATGTATATCATAATATCACCACCATTTTACCAGAAAACAAATTTTTGCTATCTCATTTAGAAACTGAGATAATAGAGCTCAAAGTCGACGTAAAGGATTGCCTTCTATTAGAGAGTTTATGGTAACTTTTGAGGTCACATTCAACGAAATTATACGGTATGACCAATTACCATTAATTTTAGATTAATCTTCAGAACCAACTCAACCGTGAAAGTGGATTTATTTTGAAGACAAATTATAAAGGTAATTGTTTTCCTAGGGAACAATCACGTGGACCCAGTACTTTTATCATCAACCTAGAAAAAACAATTTTCAGGGCTATTTTTCGCTATGAACGTCTGAAAGAATCATGTGTCTTTGGACCTTTTTTTGTTCTGAAAATCTTCCTTATTAATAAAACGCTAGAGGCGTCTGCCAGTCCTCGTGTCCGTCTGTGGACTTTTGAAAAAATTGAAAAATACATATATATTTACGTGTCCCTTTTATTTAGAAAAAGTGAGAAACGAAGCGACGAACATTTGAAAAAAAAATAGATTGAATCGCGCCGAAGGCGCACCAGCTTGCTGGTCAAAAATAAAAAGTCCTAAAATATTTTCCCCTCCAACGCGCTCCCTCTCCCTCTCTTCCCTCTCGCACTCTCCGCTTGTAATATGTACACACCTCTACCACCTCAGCAATTGTTGAACCCGTGGCCTACTGGCTAACACTGCCGACCGCTAACTACGAGGTCGGCAGTTCGACCCCCACCAGCGTGAGTACTGGCTGTTTGTGTCTCCATCCATTGCCAATCAGCTGTCATTAACCACGCAAGACTGTAACGGAGTGCTAAATTACCGTGTGAATACCATAACAAAGATTGGTCACTCGGAGGAGGCGCTTCCACATTTTCAACTTTTGAGTGATTGACGACCTGTTTTTTGTTATGGGTGTGTGTCGTCCCCGCCTCGTGTTGAACTTTGTAGGCAGACATCCATAAAAGGAGAACACGAATTAGTGGAAAACCCCCTGTCTCTTCAAAGATGAGGTTGCTAATTTTTTCCTTTGGGTTTCTTGTCGTATTTGTTGAAAGCGAGGCTATCAAACAATGTCTGTGTAAACCTTACGAGAAATGCCTGATGAAAAAAGGTGTCGGAAGTGAACCCGTGGATAAATGCTTTTCGAAATGTGAGGTACGGTATACTAGACACTCTTAAACTATATTTTTGAAAATATTTCTTTGGATTGATTTTGTGTTTCCTGATCCCTTTTTTCTTCCTAGCAATCCTGGTCGTTTAATAGAAGCGGTCCAACTACCGTAAACACTCTAATAGATTGCCATCTCTAACTTTCAACTTTGAGCTCAGATATCTCATTTCCTGTAGAAGATATCAAAAAGTGGTTAACTGACAAAATATTGTTGAAAGTATGGTAAACATTTCATCAGTTGACTAATTTTTGATATCTTTCATAGAAACCGAGATAAAATGGCTGAGAGTCAACAGTTAGGAGTTACGTTCTATAAGAGTGTTAAGGCTTTAAGCTCAATTACCACAATTCTTTTGAAAGATATCAATTTTTGATATCTTTCACAAGAATATCCGTGCCCAAAGTGTTCTTTATTCGACTAGTAACTGAAAATGTCTCCAAAATTTCTAAAACTTAATTTTCTAATACCTTAAAACTTTCCAGAAAATCTTCCCCACATGCAGTTTTGTTTCATGTATGCGACAGTTCATCCCGGACTTTAATAAAATCAAGCAGTGCTCCTATTCGGCAATGTATGGATTCAGAGGATGTACATCTCAAAAAATGAATGTTCTCGGTGAAAGAAGTATGGAAGAATTTCGGGATATTATGATATCCACAGTTGAAGAGAATATTGGAGATTTTGGTTAGTTTAGAATTCTAGAATTTGAAAGAGAATCAATTTATTTTTGAATAAAACCACTTTAAAGGGGGGGGGGGGACATGAAAAAAATAATGTTCTCGATATTTCGTTTAAATATGCCCCTCGAGGAGTTGAACTTGTTGGGGCGATGATTGAGGGTGCGGAGCCGCTACCGACTGAGCTACACGGGAATAGAGAAAGCGGCCGCCCGATTGCATACATAAAGGCGAGGACGACAGCTGTGCGCAGAGTGACATTAAGCGTTGTACACCGTCACGGTAGAATGCATACTCTGGCCCCAAAAATCCCCCGTAAAATCTCCTGTCCCCCACCTTTAAACGGTCCTATAGAGTGCCATTGGAACCATCGACTTTGAGTTCATATATCTCGGTTCCAATCAGCGCTATCAAAAAGTAATTAATTGACAAAATGTTTATCATAATATCAAAAATACTTTATCAGTTGACTACTTTTTGATATCTATTACAGAAACCGAGATAGATTAGCTCAAAGTAAGCGCTACGGGCTCAGCTTCTGTGGCGCATTAGAAGGGTCTTAATTCGAGCCTTTCTATCTCATTTTCTTTAACAGATATCAAAAAGTGGTCAACTGACAAAATGTTTATCATAATATAAAAAATATTTTATCAGTTCACCACTTGTTGATATCTTTTACAGGAGCCGAGATATATATGCTCAAAGTTAACGGTGTGGGTGGTCTTCTCATTTAAAGGATCATGAATTTTCGTAATTAATTTCTAGCGGATTTTTCTATTTTTGGACGAATTTCATTGATTTCAAACAATTTCTTTAAACAAAAATTCTGAAAATTGCAAAAATTGCACAGAAACAATGGAAATTTTTTCGATTTTTCGGAGCTTTCGAAACTATTTTTAACACAAATCCGAAATATTGCAAAAAATCAATAAAACTCATGGAAAATCGATAAAAATCATCATAAGATCGAAATAACAGTCCAAAAATAATTACTAAAATACTTGCTTTTTTGAATGCGCCTTTAATGATTTAGCTAGCAAACCTAAGCTCCGCCCGCCCTCGAATTCCGGGAGGCAGCGCGCATTGAAAACAGACCACCGTATTTTTTAAAATTTGAAATGTTCTGAGAATCCTACAGTAACCTTTCCAGACGAGACCCGAGAATTCATGAACAAAAAAGCGGCTCGCCAAGCGGAATGCGTCTTCGAATGCCTTTATCCTGGCCGTAATTACTGTACCCGAAAACTGAAATGCGATGTTTATCTGCCGCCAGAAGACGAGTTCTTCAAAAGCTTCTATTCGTGTGCCCAAGAGAAGCAGCTCTTCAGTAAATCTGAGCAAATGTATGCGTGTATTTGTGAGTCTAAAAACTAATAATTTTTTCGATAAATCAAAAATTTCAGCCAAATTATTTGTGACAAGTGACAAGGAGGAACCGAATCGACGACGATCGTGACGGCATCAGAGAGAAGATGCGAATCAGAGATTACTAATTTATTATGTTTCTTGTTCTTTGAGAATAGACAAATTTCAAATTTTGATGTTCTAAAAATGTGTCATATGAAATGTACAATTTTTCATCTGTCGAATGTTTTCGTTTTTGAGGAAATTTCCTTATATGATTTTTGAGTTTCTGCATGAATGTAAAGGTGTGGTCCAAAAATTCGCTTCAAAATTTCAGAGGTTCTAGAATTCCGAAATTCTGAGATTCTGAGATTCTGAGATTCTGAAATTCTGAAATTCTGAGATTCTGAGATTCTGAAATTCTGAGATTCTGAGATTCTGAGATTCTGAGATTCTGAGATTCTGAGATTCTGAGATTCTGAGATTCTGAGATTCTGAGATTATGAGATTCTGAGATTCTGAGATTTTGAGATTCTGAGATTCTGAGATTCTGAGATTCTGAGATTTTGATATTCTGAGATTCTGAGATTATGAGATTATGAGATTCTGAAATTCTGAGATTCTGAGATTCTGAGATTCTGAGATTCTGAGATTCTGAGGTTCTGAGATTCTGAGATTCTGAGATTCTGAGATTCTGAGGTTCTGAGATTCTGAGATTCTGAGATTCTGAGATTCTGAGATTCTGAGATTCTGAGATAAAACGACTGAGTTTCTGGAATTCCTAGAGTTTGACATTTGAAGTCTCTAGAGTTTCGTGATTTTGAAGCTTCGATCTTCTGGAATTCTCATCTCCCGAATCTTCGAAATTCCGGAAATTCCGACACATGAAGAATCTTGAAAAGTAACAAGCGGTTAAAAAAAAAGAAAACTTTATTAAAACACTAATAAATTAAATAGATCTAGTTTTTTATGGCCTTTTTAACTTCCCAAAACAATACACAGTACAGGTCAATAAGATATCCAAAACCGTATTCTTCAGTTGATTTTCGGTCATTTTCAGGAGTATTTTGAAAATTCCTAGATTTTCAGCTATTTGTCATATGAAAGACACCCTCATTTTGCCCGTTCAGATATCGACAGATAGCTGAAAAACTAGGAATTTTCAAACAGTCGGAACTTTGGCAGTCCAGCTTCAGATTCCTAAAAATACCGAAAATAAACTGAAAAATATGTTTTTATAAATCTTATGGGTCGGTACTGCCGTACTTCTCCAGAATCAACTATCAATGAGACTCATATCAAAACCAAAAATCACAAAATCCAAATAATAAATTCTTCTCAGCCACTCTCGAATCTTCGGATCGCTTTTAATCTGTCTTTGAACGACGTCATGTGCATCTGAATCATACGTCGCATGCCCTGTGTCTCCTTCCAACGCTGATTTTTCAATGTATTCTAGCGTAGCATTCGGAACATGACTCTCTTTTAAAACGCTCATCAAATTGTCCATTCCACTCTTTCGATTCTTGGGATCTACGACGAGCTTCACGATTTTATACTCGTTGAGATGTTTGTGGAATTCGCAGTTCCTGAAAGATTTGGAATTTTACAAACCTGAAAACTGTTAGAATGAAAAATCTGGGGAATATTTCTGGTAGGTAATATTTCTTGTAAATTTTCGATTTCCCCAAAACAGGATATTGAGATTCGACATACAGTTTACGCTAGCAGACCACCCTATACGTGCTCTTTGAGCTTAATTATCTCTGTTCCTATGAGAGATATCAAAAATCCATCAACTGATAAATTATTGGTGATAATATGATAAGCATTTTATCAGTTGACAAATTTTTGATATCATTTATAGGAACCGAGATAATTGAGCTCAAAGTTGAAACTACATTTCATCTAATGGAAACTTGCCGGAACCGGTAACTTTGAGTTCAATTATCTCGTTTTCTATGAAAGATATCAAAAATTTGTCAACTGATAAAATATAGGTGATATTATGATAAACATTTTATCAGTTGACAGGTAATTGATATCTTTCACAGAAGTCGAGATAATCGAACTCAAAGCTTAAACCACGTTTCGTTTAATAGAAGCCCACCCTGCACGTTCACTTTGAGCTCAATCATCCCGGTTCCTATGAGAGCTATGAGAAAACTGTAAACTGATAAAATATAGGTGATATTATGATAGCTTATCTGTTGATAAAAACTTTGGCTTCTTTAATAGCAAATAAGAAAATTGGAATTTTAAGAACCTCAAAAGTTTTTTAAAAAACTTGAATTTTTAAAATTTTCTCACCATGACAACGGCGCCGCGTGTTTATCCTCATAAGACGGTCTCAGTTTTGAGAACGTGTTATTTGAGTGCTGCGCAAATCTCATGTACTGTTTCTCCAAGTAGCATGTAACGTTCCCTTGACAGTTATAGCACTGCTTTCGATCTGGATACTTTTGAGCTTCGCTGAAAATTTATTTTTTTCAAATTGTCAATAGAGCGTACTTACAAAATACACTTATTCGAGAAAAATGAAATGAATCTGGCAATTGGATCTCGAATTACTGCGATTTTCGTATAGGTGTGATGGGCATCACCCATTCTCCATTTCACTTCACTCAAGCGGCGATACTCATTTTTATCGGCACAAAATCTGAAATAATATTTTGAAACTAAAAAAAAAGAAATTCTAATTTGGTACCTTTGGCTCCAAACTTCCAAAATACTTCGATTATTCCTCATAAACTTCCCAGTATCGTAAAGAACACAAGCCACACCTGACATCAATGTGGACATAGACTTTTTTATTCGACAAATTGAGAGATTGTATTTTGGAGCAATCTGAAATCGATCTTCAAAGTTTTGAAAAGTAAAAAAAGAAGAATCGAAATGAAGTGCTATTTCTAAATTGCAAGAATGTGAAAGTCTCAGAATCTCAAAATCTTAAAATCTCGAAATCTTCAGAATGTCAAACTCTAGGAATTCCAGAAACTCAGTCGCTTTATCTGAGAATCCGAGAATATCGGAATCTCGAAATCTCAAAATCTCAGAATCTCAGGATTTCAGAATTTCAGACTTTCCGAATTTGAGAATTTCAGAAACTCCGAATCTCAGAATATCAGAATATCAGAATATCAGAATCTCAGAATCTCAGAATCTCGAAATCTCGAAATCTCAAAATCTCAGAATCTCAGGATTTCAGAATTTCAGACTTTCTGTATTTGAGAATTTGAGAATTTCAGAAACTCCGAATCTCAGAATCTCAGAATATCAGAATATCAGAATCTCAGAATCTCGAAATCTCGAAATCTCAAAATCTCAGAATCTCAGGATTTCAGAATTTCAGACTTTCCGAATTTGAGAATTTAATAATTTCAGAAACTCCGAATCTCAGAATCTCATAACCTTTGAATCTCAGAATCTCAGAATCTCAAAATCTGGAAATAAGGCTAAAACTCAAAGATCTGTTCAAAACTCACTGCGTACTCCCGATCAAAATTAACGAACGGCGGAATAAATGGTTTTCCAGCCAATATCGCTTCTTCTTGCAGTTTATCCAATTTCGATTTTGCATTTTCCCGAATCAATTCATAAAATCTTTTGTATGTATGCGTTTTGACAGTTTTGATCCATGAGTTCGATGTGAATAGGTAATAAGATGAATAGGAAATTGCACATAATAAAAGACAAGACACAATGAACCATTTCGCCATTTTTGAAACAATTTGAAACTCAAAAAAAACCAAAAAAAATGAAGTGGGTGTCCGAATCCCTCCCGATTCATTCAGTGGTAAACCCCCCATAATCCAACGGTAATCTCACTTTCAAAGAGTACAGATCCATATCAACCGTTTTTGTTTGATATAGATCTGTTGATCTTTCGAAACCAAAGTTATTTTTTAAAAATTGCAAAACGGGCTGCTCAGCACTCCGGTAAACCGTATTATCAACAGGGATCGTCTGAGGACTGACAGATTTGAGTATGACATCATTGCCCCGCGGGAGGGTCGAACCGGAGAGTGTGCTAACGAGACGCAGGCACACTAACCACTTGGCTACGACGGCGCAACAGAGAGAATGCTGTCAAGGAGGTTATAAAGGTGGTAGTGGGCGAGAAGAGGAAGAGGGAGGTTGCGGAATTGATTGTTTCGCGAGTTGGATTTTTGTTGGAATTTCGGGATGAATAATAGGCTGAAATAACAAAAAAGTTAGAGGAAAAACAATTGAAAAACAAAACAAATAAATAAAAATGAGACAATAGAGTCTGAAAATTATAAAATGGAGAAGCAAATTTCAGAAAAATATCAACTGAACAAAAATGAAAGCATCTCTAATTATTCTTCAAATTTTTCTTTTGGCAGTTTTAGCTTCATCGAATACTGTAATTAAAAATGAAGGTGAGTTGATAAATGAATCCTCAAATTCAAAGTAATTTTTGATTTTCAGAAGAGCTTGAAGAATTTTTGAGAACTTCAAAAATGTCAAGAGAATCCAAGCAGGTGCTCCGAGAGTATCAAAGAGAAGGAATGCTTCAGTGTTAGTTGTTTTTACGAATGTGACTACAGTAATACAAAATACCGTCCCCTATCTTTAAAATTTGAGCCAAACAATTTTCCAGAGTTGAAGTCGTTTAAAAGTTTGAGCTCAATTATCTCTGTACTTGTAGAAGATATGGAAAAGTTATCAACTGATAAAATATTTTTGAAAACATGATAAACATTTTATCAGTTGACATATTTTTGATATCTCTTATATGAACCGAGATAATTGAGCTCAAAGTGCACATGAATCTGATCAAACTGGGTACAGCTAACTTTGAGCTAGCTAATCTCGGTCCCTGTTGAAGATATCAAAAAGCTGTCTACTGATGAATTGTTCATCATAACATTACAAACATTTTATCAGTTGATAACTTTTCGATATCTCTCATAAGAACCGAGATAATTGAGCTCAAAGTTCAGAGGCCCTTCTATTAGAGTGTTTGCGGTAACTATAGTAATCTCGAAAATTCCTTTTCAGTCCCCTTGGATCCATTCAACTTTGTGTCTCAATTGCAATCAATCTTCTCTCAACTACCCAATCTCTTCTCCTCAATTTTCAAATTCCCGCAATTTTTCAGCCCAGCTGATACCCGTATCAGTGTGGGACGATCTGATAATCATCATGTGGTTGACAATAGTAATGAATAAAAACATTTAACAAGAATTTTTTTATTAACATGAAGACATTTAATCATTGGCACTCGGTCTCCATTTTTTGCAGCTCCATTGCCTGAAAATAGTTAAGGCTACTGTAGTTCAAAAGAGGGAATTGCTCACTCTAATCTTATCAATTGCGGATTTCACGTAGGCCTGGCAACTGATATTCTTGATCTTGTAGCCGAACATGGTGGCCGTGGAGATGGCATCTGGAGAAAATTGCATTTTTTTAAATTTGGTTGCAATTAGTCGAAACTGTAATTTCCAAGATTTTTCGAAAATAGCATGGCGGCCTAACTTTCTAAAGCTGGGTTTTCTAGACCACCATGTTAAGCGGCCTAGAAACGGGCTGACATTCCCTTGGTGTGCTTTTTGGGTCATTTTAACATAGTGACCTAACTTTTCTAAGTTGAGTTTTCTAGGCCACATGTTATGACCTGTTATGAGCTAGAAATGGCCTAACATTAATCTAGTGCGTTTTCTATGCCATTTACCATGGTGGCCTGACTTTTCAAATTTAAGTTTTCTAGGCCACTATGTTAAAATACCCTAGAGAGAACCTAATATTCATCTAGTGTGCTCTAGGCCATTTTTGCATGGAGGCCTAACTTTAGCAATTTGAGTTTTCTAGACCATCATGTTTAATGACCTAGAAATTGGCTGATAACTAGTGCGTTACGCCATTTTAACCCGGTGGCCTAATTTTCCAAATTTGAGTTTTTTAGGCCACCATGGTAAAATGGGCTAGAAAACCCACCATTTGTACGTTTGGTCATTTTTGGACCATCAACTACGGTGACCGAGAAGAAACGAGTTGAGAAATTTAGGCCACTCTAATCGGTCGGTAAATTTTTTCCCAACATTGTCTAAATATGGAAATTTAATTGTTGGAAATTTTAAATTAAACCGGAAATACTATTGTCTATTCAAAATAATCGCGCGGGTGAAAAAAAAACGGGTAGAGACTCTCCAAGCCTGTAGAGGCGCTGTAGAGACGCAGACAGTTTTACTCGTTCACCCGCGAAATTATTTTGAATAGACAATAGCTTAAAAATTCGGCCCATATTTTCTAACCAGTCGGTTTACGCTCCTTCGGGGCTGAACCTCCTGGCTTCCGGTCGCCCTCCACCATCGCCCTTTCTGCCCACCACCCTTTAGTGTGGTGAAACCAATGAATGTCTCCAGAAGACTTCAAAATCAAAATTTTGAAAAACCAAAAGTTCGGGGATCAACTAAGACACAATTCTGATTTACCGGTCCAGGTTTCAGCTTGATCGGTTAACTTTGAATGGGTGATAAGGTGCGCTACATGCATACGCACATACAGAATCTGGTGAATGTTATTAGTAATGATCTTACCAAAATCACATCCAATTTTATTCTTATACAAATCCACCCATGCCAACGAAAGAGGTGTCGAGTACATGATCTGCGAAGCGGTTCTCATGAAAGCAATCAATGAATTCGGAATCGAAGACATCGACGTTGGTTTTCCAATTCGGAGTCTTTGCAAATTAATTTGATAAAAACTTCTTCACCCAACCATTGATTATCACTCAATGGATTTCCAACGAGATTCAAATCGTTCAAATTGCACAACGCTTCCAAGGAGAGATTTTGAATTGAAGTGAGGCCAAGATTTCCAAGATTGAGGATCTGAAATTTTCTGGGATTCCTAGGTTTCCAAGGTTTCGAGAATCCTACCTCTAAGCTTTTGAAGTCTCCCAACATCTTCTGATTGTTCTTCAAAAAGTTCGGTTGTCCTCGAATATCCAAAGCCATTATGTTTTCCGGTTTCGGTACTTTTGGCATCAAATCCAAAATTGGATGAGTCGGAGCTGGTTTGATTTTGATCTGACATTGCATTATTTGCTCATCGTACGTTTGATAGGTGTTCGAGGAGTTATCCAACGCCTTCAGATCCAAAGTTAGAAGATTATTTAAATTGATGAGAAGATTTTCTGGAAGAGAGACCAATTGATTTCCAGCCAAGTTCAAATATTTGAGCTCTGTTAAATGATCAAAAGCCCCAGAGGCAATTGAATTGATAGCGTTGCATTGGAGAGTCAAAGAGAGCAATTTTGTGGATTTCGCAAGAAATGGCGACTTGATTTTGGTCAATTCAGATTCAGTTAACAGAAAATGTTCAAGGCTGGGAAGATTGTCCAATCCAGAAATGTCTGTGTTATCCGACAGCGTTGCAGAAAATTCCAAAAATTGGAGAAGGTCTGTTTGAATCCAGGATGGGATGGAGCTCATTGTGACGTTGTAGAAACCGATGGCTTGAAGATTTCGATTCATAGTTGAAGGCTAAAAATAAAAGGAAAGAGTTTTCAGTAAATCAAACTCGTGAAACGGGCCCCTGGCGGACCTTCGTCGGCCCTGTCAAAGTTTCTTTAAGAATCCATATTCTTAAACCAATCAAATTAGGTATGATAGAAAAACTCAAGTACTACAAAATGAAGCTATTTGGGTTACTGTATCTCGTCTATGAACAAAGTTATAAGCAAAAAACCGTCTGAGCTACGTTGTCACAGATTTGTGGGCTGTAACTTTGTTCATAGACAAGATACAGTAGTCCAAATAATATCATTTTGTAGTACTCGTCGAGTTTTATCATCGCTAGTTTAATTAATCTAAAAATATCGATTTTAAAAGAGACTAGACTAGTCTCTGCTATGGCCGGACCCGCGAAGGTCGCCAGGACCCTGTCAACAAATAAAAGGAAAAATTGAATTTTTGGTTCTTCCCACAGCTCCTGGAATTATTTGATCACATCGAGAAGTATTCTACTGTAAGAACACAAAGTAATAATATAAAATCTAGTTTTGCAGTTGACAATTTTTTGGGAAATTAATGTGAAGACAGCCAACTTGACCCCAATTACAGTACCCATTCTAATAGAATGCCACTCAACCCGTCAACTTTGAGCTGATATATCTCGTTTCCTGTGAAAGATACCAAATGTTGGTCAACTGATAAAATATTCATCATTAAATCATAAATATTTTGTTAGTTGATCAATTTTTAATATCTTTGACATGAACCGAGGTGAGCTGGCTCAAAGCTATCTGTACTCTATTTGACCTGATAGAGGTGCACTTTGAGTTTATTTATCTCGGTTCCTGTGAAAGATATCAAAAAAGTTTCAACTGACAAAATTTTGGTGATAACATAATAAACATTTTATTAGTTGACAATTTTTTGATATCTCTCACAGGAACCGAGATACATAAGCTTAAAGTTGGGTGGCATTCCGTTTACGGTATCGGTTCATAATGAAATTGACGCTTTTTTCTGTCTGTCTGTTTATCCAGGTGTCCCTAACTACTCACAATACTCTCCTGTCCAGTAATCTCCACCAACGCCAACGCCAAACTTTTCAAAGATGGAATATCTGAGAGAGTGGTCCAAAACTTTGAACTTGGAGCAAACCGCGGAGCATAATACTTTGACTGATTCCTATAAAAGTCTCCAAAAAACCCAATCTGATTTCCAAACGCCACGTGGATGATCTCCGGATGTTTCTTGGTTAACATATCCAACATGGATTCCATTTCAGCCAGGGACGCATCTTTGAGAGCTGGATCCACAACGGGTTTTAGGTGGAAACCTGGAAAAATGCAAGTGTGCTCTATTGAATTTCTACAGTACCTTTTATATGCATTCCATCTAAGTATCCAATTGATAAGTCATCCAAAGTATAGGGTGGTGTGTAGTTCTGTCCGTTGGAAGATGAGTATGTTGCGTAGGCGGACGTCAGAGAGATTCCATCTTCGATTCCTTTCTGAGTCAATGGAATCGCCCAATCCGAACAATTGATTTTTCGTTTTTCTCCCAGTGTCGAGCCAAGATTCCATGTTGGGGATGGACGACGATCACCGCATTCAAAACGGACTGTAGCAGATTTTTTCATGGATTTTGATAATCTCAAAAAATTCTAATTCTAAACTTACGAGCATCCACAAAATGAGCACACTGTCTCTCACAAACCGTCGTTGCAAACTCTCCGTAGTTGAAAATGTCTGAAAAATGTCTTCATCTCTAAACCTCTCTCTCTCTCTCTCTCTCTCTCTCTCTCTCTCTCTCTCTTTCTTTCTTCCTCTCTTACCAAATACTTGATTTTTATAATTATTGACACTGCTCAACGACAAACACGGATGCATCAACTTCGGAAGTGTCAAATCTGATATCGCTGCCGTTGAACTGGCGGTGGCAGTGGCCATAATCGGAAATTCGTAGGTATTAAGATTGAGATTTCCAGCCAGAGATGAGTATTTTCCATTCATGTCATCACAAAAGACAACTGGCTTCTGGGATGAGGAACAGATGACATTGGGGATTCTGGAAACTCGGATATACGTTCACTTTAAGCTCAATTACCTCGGTTCCTGTAAGAGATATCAAAAAGTGTTCAATTGATGAAATATTAGTGATATTATGATAAACAATTCATCAGTTAATAGACTTTAGATGATTCTCATTGGAATCGAGATAATTGAGCTCAAAGTGTCCGTATTGTGTAGATATATTGGAAGCACTAAAATTAGTAAAAATAAAAACTAACACTTAATTCAAAGTTACTAAAATTTTCAAACCGTTTTCTCAAATCTAGGTTTTGTTGTGATTGACTAAAGATGAACGGCGTTGTGAAGAGATAAAAAATTTTGACAAGCGATAACTCAGCTCAAAGTTGATCAAATTATCCAAAATTGGCCAGTTTACTGATCGATAATTCGATTGTTTGCTCTCTATATTTCAGCCCAGTACAACGCTTCACTCAAATTTTATGCTAGTACAAACTTGAGTCCTGGTAGCTTTGCAGCCCACACAAACCGTCAACTTTGAGCTCATATATCTCGGCTCCTATGAGAGATATCAAAAGTCTGTCAACTGACAAAATGTTGGTGATATTATAATCAACATTTTATCAGTGGACACATTTTTAATATATCTTAAAGGTACCGAGAAAATTAAGCTCAAAGAGTGAGCATATGGTGGGCATCTATTAGAGCAAAACACAGTTTATTTTTTTCAGTAGAAAAACAAATGTGATCTTTTTGTAAAAAATGAAAAAAGAAACTATATTTCTGTATAAATTTTTCTGAAAATTCTAAAATAAGTTTTCAAAATTTCAAACTGTTTTCTCAGAGCACCAAAGTTACACATTCCGTAAACACTCTAAACAGAAGCCCACACTATATATGCTCTTTGAGCTCAATTATCTCGGTTCCTATAAGAGATATCAAAATTTTGTCAACTGATAAAATGTTGGTGATATTATGATAAACAATTAATCAGTTGACAACAATTTGATATCTTTAGAAGGAACCGAGTTAAATGTGCTTCAAGTTTACTGTTTGAGTGGACTCCCATTAGATGAAATGTTGTTTTAACTTTGAGCTCAATTATCTCGGTTCCTATAAGAGATATCAAAATTTTGTCAACTGATAAAATGTTGGTGTTACTATGATAAACATTTTGCCAGTTAACAGTTTTTTGTTCTCTCTCATAGGAACCGAGATAATTGAGCTCAAAGTTGACAGTTTGTAACCGTAAGAAAAAAGATTTTTCGGATTGTTTTTCTCAAAAAACTCACATAAAAACCAGCGACCATCCGATTTTCAGAATCATCCTCAACTGAATTCAAACTCTATATTCTTTCCCAAAAACCTTCCTTCCGGAAATTGATATTCTTCTTTTCCACTCAAAATTTTCCAATTTCCTGTGCTTCATCCTCCTACCTAATCCCCCCAAAGTCATGCGTTTTCGTATTTTTGGAATACGCCCCAAAAATTGAAAATTGACAAAAAGTTTATTTTTCAACTCGCAAAGAAAACAAAAAAATCGCATATAGACAAGAATAGGACCTGTATCGGAACCGAACAGAAAATAAAATCACATTCACTCAAAGGCACTGTTTTAGAAAAAAAAGCGGGTGGAGAGATCCGAAAAATTACAGTTAAAGGGGTTGTAAAGGGATGTTTTGTGTCCTGAAATGTGGCAAAATTCAGATAGAGAAAAAGAATGCACCGAAAATGTAGAGAATACGATGAAACATTTTGAAAATGACCCATATAGATTATGTATTTTTATATATGTGTATAGATACAAGATAGTTCAGCTCCTCTCACTAGACGGGATAGTGATATTGGCTGTTGGTTCGTTTTTCAGCTTATTGTTCTTAGTGTTTTTGTGATTATTCGGTCGTTTTCCGTCCAGTTTCAGAGGAACCCGTTGTTCGGCGACTTTCGGAGCACGAGCCCACACTTCATTTGCCATTTGCTCTTTGATTTCTTTGCGAATTCGTTCCTCCTCGGTGACGATTGGAAGCATTCGAGCACGGACCTGGAATAATAAAACCTGTAATAGAAGGGCCTACATACTGTCATGTTTGAACTAATTTATCTCAGTTCCTATGAGAGATATCAGAATTGTGTCAACTGATAAAATGTTGGTTCTATTACAGGTTTTACGGTAATTCCAGAATAGAAAATCTATAACGCTTTTGATTAAATCTCAACTCACAACATCTGAATAGTATCTTCTGAACACCGGCTCCGATGAGCAATATTCTGTCGCTTTGTACACGTGGAGAATTAACTGAAATATTGAATTATTTTTCTGAATTTCAGATTGAATTTCAGAATTTTTGAACTTCTGATTTTCTAAAATTCTGATTTTCTGGGTTTCTAAAATATCGGTGTCTCAAGTTTTCTAGTTTCTGGAACTTCTGAATTGTTGAAATTCTAAAATTCGTGATTCCTAGAATTTTTGAATTTGTCGAAATTCTGAATTTGCGATATTCTAAATTTCTGAATTTCTGAACATCTGAACTTCTGGTTTTCTGATGTTCTAAACGTCTGAATTTGCGAATTTCTGGTATTTCGAATTTTTGAATTTCCGTGTTTCTGGAATTTTCGAATTTCTGATTTTCCAATTTTCCAAACTTCAGAAGTTCTGAATGTCTGAATTTCAGACAATTTGAATTTCTAAAATTCCGAATTTCTGGAATTTCTGAACTTCCTCTTTTCTGGAATTATGAAATTTTCGAATTTTCAAAAATTCTGAATCCGAATTTCTGGAATTTCTAAAATTCCGAATTTTCGGAATTTCTGAATTGCTAAAATTCTAAAATTCAGGATTTATAGGATTCTGGAATTTGTTTAAATTCTGAATTTCTGGGTTTCTAAAATCCTGAATTTCTGGAATTTCCGAATTTCTAAAAAATAATTGTCTTACCCTGGGAAACCTCGACGTAAAATAATGCAAAAACTGATCGGGAATATCTCCCAACGACTGTCGAACGTCTTCCGGCAACTCTCGATAATGATGCTTCTTATTCCGCATCGCACGCAACAAATCTCGAACCGAGAACGATTTATAAGTCCTGAACTTCCGAAGATCTTCCTTCAACGCATCGCAAATCTTTTCTCTCCATCCTCCACAAACCACCGTCCTGGCATCTGTCTCCAGCCGTCGCACCACCGGACTATTATCCTCTTCCTTTTCTACCCTATCAGAAACATCCGAAAAATAGGCTAATCGCTTTTCAGCCGACCAAAAGAACGGGTGATTCAGAACCGCTTCTGCAGTGAGACGGGAAAGTGGATCCACGTGGAGCATTGATGTAATCAAATCCTCAGCCAACGACCAGTCATCATGATCAGCCAGTTTATTCAACGTAAACTCTCCATTCACAATATTGGCTTGTCTGTGAAGGGACTTTCCGAATGGATGAGTTCCAGAAGTCAGTACATAGTAGAAGATACATCCAAGAGAAAAGATATCAACTGGATAAGAGGTGCTGGCAGAAATAAGGACTTCTGGAGCAATCCATCCATCAGTTCCAGCTAATCCGGATGCAATTCCTCTGGATATCGAGTTCTTTCCCGGTTGGACACGTTTGCAGAGACCAAAATCCGAGATGACAGCTCGCATCTCTCCTCGCTGACTTGCCATCGTAATCAGCACATTTTGCGGTTTCATATCTCGATGAACAATCTTCGAAGCATGTAAATGAGCCAATCCATCTGTTGCTTGTCTTAGAATATCAGTAGTCGATAAGGAAACGCCTTCTTGTACCTCTTTCCTCTCCACATAATCATTGAGAGAACAGATACAAAGTTCCAGAGCCAAGTACCGAAACTGGCTGTCAGACTCCATGCAGAAGTATCTGATGACGTGGGGATGGTGGTCGGATTCTCGTAGTAGGTCGGCTTCTCGGTGGGCGAATTTCACAAATTCCGAGACGACGCGCTTCACGGCGACTTCGCGACCATCGAAAGTTCCACGATAGACAACGGTTCCCTCGCATCCGGTGCCAAGAATGTCAGATGGACTGTACATCAATTTCGAGCCAACTGCCATCCATCCATCGGGGATCTGAAACTTTTTGAGATTTTCTTGTGCTACAGAAATCTGGGATCAGAAGGATCTCTTAGGTTTTGAAGATCGATCTGGTAGGATCCCTTACCTCGATCTTCCTTGCCATCCACCCAAAACTTCCTCGATTCGACTGCTTCGATGTCTGCAGACCTTTCGACTCTCCCGGACTTTTAACAATCTCAAATGACTCCATTCTCGACGGTGGATCAATTCGATTCCGATCCCATTGACGTCCACACTGCCAGATTACTGTAAGTAGCAGCACTACCAAAGTGACAATCAAGGAATACACTGGAATCGGGTATTTGTCAAAAAGAAGGACAATGATGGAGGTGTCCTCGTGCTTCAGTGGTTCAACGGGTCCAGTGATCAGTGGTGGAGGATCTGGAGACTCGATGGCGTTGTGGTGTACGTTGTGGAATGGGAATCGGGAGGAGATGATCATTGCCATTGCCATCGATGGACGATCGTGGTATCCTGAAATGAAGGTTCTGGGAATTTTGGAATCTATACTTTCTAAATTTCTATTTTGATCCAAAAATTAGTTTTCTAGCTTTCTTAGGAGCCGAGATATGCTCATTTGAAGTTTCAGGAGGCTAGAGACGCAGACAACGATACACACCGCGTCTCTAGCCTGCAAAACTTCAAATGACTGTATCTTGAGTTCTAGAGAAGGTAGAAAAATGATTTTTAGATAGAAATGGAGCTTGTGATCTCTATTTTCTAGATTCTATTGAAAACCGACTTCTCAAAAACTTTTTGTAGTTGGAGTGTCTGCATTTTGGCTTTTTTTTTAAGAAAAAGAAAACCAAAACTTTCGCGAAACCGGAGGAAAATCTTTTATGACCTGGAGTTTCCTAGGCCACGACCAAGTTTAAAGCCCTTCTAGGAGACGAGATACAGTAATTAGACAATACCATTTGAAGTTGGTGAGGTTAGAGACGCAGTCGGTCTC